TTCGCTACAAGGCCCCCCCCCCCCCCTCCCACATACCGTGTTTCCCCGAAAATAAGACACTGTCTTATATTTTTTTTTGCCCCCCCAAAAAACACACTAGGTCTTACTTTTGGGGTAGGTCTTATTTTCGGGGAAACAGGGTAGCAACTGAGTATATGGACCTTTGCTACGGTGGGATTTCTATACATTGGCTCTGCCCCTGCACCTTTCATTTGGAGTTTTCCAGAGTTGACCTTCCTCACCAAGGATTCCACATCTCTGGATCCCAAAGGTGTGTTTACCATACAAGTGTAGTCTTCACCTCCCTAAGGTCCAATTGTCTACGCCTTCATCTGCTCCATGTTTGTCCCTCTTAGTTTGGAATTATTTCTGCATATATTATACAAATGGCAGTCCTTTGGGAATCCTCCGTCCTTATGTGTCCCATATTTTCTCTTTCGCTGTATCATCTGCAGAGCAGTCAATTGGTAAGTAGGCTGTGAAGTGCTTCCTTCAGGATCTGATGGAGATGAGAGACCTTTTCAGAAGGTATATTTATCTCTATTATATAGCTGACGTGGCAAAGTGACCCTACAAACTACAGATATGCCCTTTATTTTGGTGCCACCAAGTGGCAGAACCTAGTATAAAACATTGTCTGCTTAGAGAGCTGCGGACACTCTTGGTCAGCAGTGGGGAAACTCATAGCATCTTAGGAGACCTTGGTCTCTGGTTGACGTGGCCTTCACTGGGGCATTCTCTCTGGTTTGCCCCAGCAGTGATAAGTGATTTGGCAGTAGATATACTAAAGTTGACAATCAGAAAGGAAGGCCACAAGTTTAGGGCAAGCAGGAAAGTTTGAAGTCAGAGGTCTCCAGGCAGGTTCCTTACTGGCAGTAGATATACAGATAGGGTCTAGTGGACTGCTCCGTGTCAGACAAAGTGACAGTGATATACAGAGATCAGTGCTGGACCTCTTCATAGGACTGAGAATAACCTTCTTACTCAGAAGGAGCCTCCAGAGGACCAGGAAGATTCTTCTCAGGCACTGGCCCATCACACTGTCACAGCAAAAACTGTTGTCTTATGTATTCTTCAGACTTTGGGTACGTGCAGCCACGTGGCTGGAGGAAAGAGAGGAGGACTCCTGCATATAAAAACTCCAGCTATGTTTTGTGGTCTCCAGGCTCCTCATAGTCCACATCCAACGTTCTTCCATCGTTCTGCTAAAGAGCAAAATGAGCAGCAGATCAGATCATAGTGTGTGATGTGAGCCGGCAAATCTTCCAGGTCAAGAAACACATCAGCACTGCTACTCAGCTTTCATAACAGACTTTTACTCATCATCTGTACTATACAGGAACACTAAGCGTAGAACTCCTCACCTCAGTGATACCGTATGTGAGCAGGGCCCCCAACTCATCATTACTGAACACTAGAACATGTGAGCAGGGCTGGGCCCCCAACTCATCCTCACTAAATACTAGAACATGTGAGCAGGGCTGGGCCCCCAACTCATCCTCACTAAATACTAGAACATGTGAGCAGGGCTGGGCCCCCAACTCATCCTCACTAAATACTAGAACATGTGAGCAGGGCTGGGCCCCCAACTCATCCTCACTAAATACTAGAACATGTGAGCAGGGCTGGGCCCCCAACTCATCCTCACTAAATACTAGAACATGTGAGCAGGGCTGGGCCCCCAACTCATCCTCACTAAATACTAGAACATGTGAGCAGGGCTGGGCCCCCAACTCATCCTCACTAAATACTAGAACATGTGAGCAGGGCTGGGCCCCCAACTCATCCTCACTAAATACTAGAACATGTGAGCAGGGCTGGGCCCCCAACTCATCCTCACTAAATACTAGAACATGTGAGCAGGGCTGGGCCCCCAACTCATCCTCACTAAATACTAGAACATGTGAGCAGGGCTGGGCCCCCAACTCATCCTCACTAAATACTAGAACATGTGAGCAGGGCTGGGCCCCCAACTCATCCTCACTAAATACTAGAACATGTGAGCAGGGCTGGGCCCCCAACTCATCCTCACTAAATACTAGAACATGTGAGCAGGGCTGGGCCCCCAACTCATCCTCACTAAATACTAGAACATGTGAGCAGGGCTGGGCCCCCAACTCATCCTCACTAAATACTAGAACATGTGAGCAGGGCTGGGCCCCCAACTCATCCTCACTAAATACTAGAACATGTGAGCAGGGCTGGGCCCCCAACTCATCCTCACTAAATACTAGAACATGTGAGCAGGGCTGGGCCCCCAACTCATCCTCACTAAATACTAGAACATGTGAGCAGGGCTGGGCCCCCAACTCATCCTCACTAAATACTAGAACATGTGAGCAGGGCTGGGCCCCCAACTCATCCTCACTAAATACTAGAACATGTGAGCAGGGCTGGGCCCCCAACTCATCCTCACTAAATACTAGAACATGTGAGCAGGGCTGGGCCCCCAACTCATCCTCACTAAATACTAGAACATGTGAGCAGGGCTGGGCCCCCAACTCATCCTCACTAAATACTAGAACATGTGAGCAGGGCTGGGCCCCCAACTCATCCTCACTAAATACTAGAACATGTGAGCAGGGCTGGGCCCCCAACTCATCCTCACTAAATACTAGAACATGTGAGCAGGGCTGGGCCCCCAACTCATCCTCACTAAATACTAGAACATGTGAGCAGGGCTGGGCCCCCAACTCATCCTCACTAAATACTAGAACATGTGAGCAGGGCTGGGCCCCCAACTCATCCTCACTAAATACTAGAACATGTGAGCAGGGCTGGGCCCCCAACTCATCCTCACTAAATACTAGAACATGTGAGCAGGGCTGGGCCCCCAACTCATCCTCACTAAATACTAGAACATGTGAGCAGGGCTGGGCCCCCAACTCATCCTCACTAAATACTAGAACATGTGAGCAGGGCTGGGCCCCCAACTCATCCTCACTAAATACTAGAACATGTGAGAAGGGCTGGGCCCCCAACTCCTCCTCACTGAACACTAGAACATGTGAGCAGGGCTGGGCCCCCAACAACTCCTCACTGAATACTAGAACATGTGAGCAGGGCTGGGCCCAACTCCTCCTCACTGAATACTAGAACATGTGAGAAGGTCCCCCAACTCCTCCTCACTGAACACTAGAACATGTGAGCAGGGCTGGGCCCCCAACTAATGTACCGCTGCCAAGCTGTCCAGCTAACCCTGAGAATGGGATTGGCCCCAAAGTCTTCGTGATAACAAATGCAGAACATGCTCCGAGTGATGAGCGGAGACT